AATACAATATAGGCTATATAGATATAAGTTAAGCCTGATAAAAATGGGTGTACTACTATACAACAATAACTGTCTAATATTTTCAATAAAAATACCCATAAACTATACAAAACACGATGAAGATAAAAATCTAAAAGATCTAGTACTATCAAAGAATTGTATATTTAAAGGAAACTGTAAATTAATTTTTAACAATAACACCTCTTTCGAACTACTTGACGATGAAACAATTATTATTAAAAATGCTCGCAATACGAAAATTAACAACAGCTGTAACCAAAACACAAGTAATTTACTAAATGGAAATAACATTTTAATGTTCTCAAATTGTAAAATCACTATACAAAATGAAAAATTTTCAAATCAAAAAGAAAATTACTTCGAGAAAATTCCTGACTATGAAACATACAACAACAAAACATTCACAAATAAAATAACTTTTAATGATATTATACTTAGCAATACTAAAAATATTGAAATGATTGAAGAATTAACACAACACCAACATATCCTATTCCCTAATTGTGGTCGTATTTGTAGTGACGGTAACCGGTATGATAGTAATAATTTATGTATTCAAAAGAAATCCATAAATATAAAAGTTAAAGAAAAAATTCAGGAGAATTCTTCCACAAGGGGGGAGGAGTTACGTATCCGTACCCCACCGATCTCTACGTCACTGCAAACATCGACCACATAATTGCAAAATATGTATCAAATATCAATAAGAACAACTCAGCGAAAACTAGCGTCAACAACTGAATGTGCTTCTGCTGGTTTTCGACTGACGTACGAAACGTAAAATATGCTGAGTGGACATTTCCACCAAGCAACCCAAAGCTTAATAACGAAATAAATGATTAGTCTTAAGATTCACTCGAAACAATAAAGTTGTTTTTCAATTTGATAAACCAAATAAAATTTGTGTTATCTTTCAAATTTAACTCCGAAGAGTTAAACATATAATTCGCGTGAGACAATTTCGGCAGTAGTCGCTCCGCTCAACCGTTTCGTATTTTTGAAAGGGAGTCTGGTTGCGAAATCTGTTGCAAGAACTTAAGGCATGGCCCTCTTGACATAACCCACACGAGAACATTCAGAAACATGGTCGCTCAAAGCGGGGATTGGATCGGGTACTTGATCGGCTTCTTTATCTTATGTCGGAGGAAGTGGGTCTCATTTCGTCTCGTCGGGTTGGTCTGTTTGAGCTGCATACTATTCGGCGAGTGGCAGTGCTAGGGCTGGGGAAGCGTTCGGCTCTTCTTCAGTTTTGAGTAGGCAAGTAGGCAGCCATATCTAAAAAAAACAACGAGATGCGAGTACAAGTTTTTTTTGGAACTGTATACGTCTAGTCAGTCGCAAAACAATTTGACAATTTTTGTTATGGGTCTGCTAATGTTTCCACTTGGTTTCCGTATGTCAACAACCCTGGTATTTTGATCACTACCTGGAAAAGTTTTTTTCAATACGACCTAACTTCCATTCATGCGGAGCCAACCTATAATCTTTTACGACGACAAAATCTCTTTTTTTGATATTCTCTTTTTCATATTTCCACTTAGTTCTTCTGTGAAGTTCGTGAAGATTCTTTCACCTGCTGCAAGAATATTGTGAAATAACTTTGAGCCTTTTCCACCGATTGACTAAGTTTAAATCTGTATCTGAAATATCTGGTTCAGCTGGGGTAAGAATAGATGTTCCTACTAAAAAATGACCAGGAGTCAAAGGGGAAAGGTCACTTGGGTCGTCGTTAGCAGGACTTAAGGGTCACGAATTAAGACATCCTTCAATTCGAGCTAAAATAGTAGTAAATTCTTCATAAGTCAACTTAACTTTTGGTATACTCGCAAATGAACTTTAAATGAGCACCAAGCGGAATGAATTTCGGAGTAAGATTTTGAGTGAAGTTGTTTTGAATCGTTCTATTTTAAATATTTTTCATGAAAGCTAATCTATTTCGTTTAAGTAGATCAACCGCTCCCACAAAGTTGTCCGTTGTCCGAAAATATACAAGACGGACGATCGCGCCGACTTATAAACCTAGAAAAAGCGGCAAGAAACGCATATGTCGACAAATCGCTTGTGGGTTCTAAGTGTATAGCCTCGGTGGCGAAACAAACAAACAGGCACACATACCCTTTTGTAATAAGGCAGGCTCCTCCTGAATAACTTTTAATCTTAAAGGGTCCTGCAAAATCTACCCCTGTGTTTGTAAAGGGTCGAGAAGGAAAAGTACGTTCAGACCGTAGCGAAGCCATTATTTGAGTTTGGGTTTGTTTTTTTTTTTTTTTTTTTTTTTTTTTGTAAATTAAGCAGATTCGACATTTTCATATGGTTTGTTTGAATACCGACTTTAGCCAAAAATCCATAATTCGGAACTTAGTACTTGTGTCATTAATTGATTGCCACAGTGTAAGGTGATCTTATTCGGTTCGCGTTCCTTTATCTTGTTTTTTATTATTATGTGGAATTGTTATAAGCAAGCGATGTGGAATTTTTATAAGCAGCACTGAACTCAAAAAAAACTTTTTTTTGGCAAAAAAACGAGTTAAGCAATGGCAGCCGTGCCGGTTTTTTGATGCTGAGCTATTTTGATGTAAAAGCTAATTTCATTTAAGTTTCAGTCGCTCACTGCTGTTTTGTGTTAGCTGATGATTTTAAGTAGCATTAGCTCGAAGTTCTGTTTCAAAGAACTAAGATATTTGGGATACATTGTTGGAGGTAGCAAACTGAAGACTGATCCAGCGAAAGTGGAAACGATAGTAAAGCAGGATAGAAGTTTAATGGGTACCGCAGGGAGGTATCGAAGCTTTATAGTCGACTTTGTCACCATTGCGACTCGAAACCCTCAAAAAAGGAAAACGATTCACAAAGGAAGGAAGCTCTTATAAGTATCCCCGTCCTAACACACCCGGACTTTACCAAACGCTTCAACGTTCAGTGTGATGCCTCAAACTTAGGAATAGGAGCTATATTGTTCCAAAGAGACGATGAGATATTACTATGTGACTAAGAGGGAATGTTTGGCGGTGGTGATGACCATTAAAAAGTCCTGGTCATATATTGAGTTGATGCACTTCACAGTTATAACTGACCACAATAGTTTTTTTCATGTCACATCGAGATCTGAGCGGAAGGTTAGCCGGACGGAGTCTACATTTGCAGGCATGTTCTTTGAGGTAGAGCACCATAAAAGTATCCAGAACATAGTACCTGATACTCTGTAAATGTATGATATGGAGTAGATTTTTCTGTTGAAGTCCTTAATCGACCTCGATTCCTTAGCTTTTAAAACAGATAAATACGTTGCCTTGATAGACAAAATCGAAAATAATTCTTCACAACTTCCTGATCTAAATGTGGTTGATGGTTTTGTATATAAACAAACTCAGTTCTACGATGGTATTTCCCTTAACGAAGGTTTGGCCTTGAAGTTATGGGTACCCAGCGAAATGACCCAGCAAATTATTGAAAAAGCACACTATCCACTACTAGTCTCTCATGGAGATCTCCACAAGATACCTCGGAGGGTAAAAGAGTACTTTTTTCTGGCCAAGACTGAATACGCTAGTTAGAAATTTTGTACAGAATCGGGAAATTTGCAAAGAGACGAAACCATTAAAGAAAAGCCTTTCCAATGAATTTATGTACACTATTTAGGTCCTTACCCTAGAACCAAACCGGGAAACTGTTTCATTATCATTCTGGTAGTCCACCTTCCAGAATATGTCTTGCTAAGGGCCATGACCAAAGAAAATTCGAGAAATGTAGTAAAATTTTTAATAAGTGAAGTATCTCATAAATTTGGAACCCTAAAATTAATTGTGTCTGCTAATGGTAAACCATATATTAGCAAAGAGGTAGAATACCTTAAAGGTTTGAAATAAAGCGGAGATCCCAGATAAAATATTAACTCGAAACGTTTACACGAAAATATTTAAAATAAGCTCATAATTCTAACTTAACTTAAAGCTACCTTAATTTTAAATTTTTCCTATACTCATCCAAAAGTCGCAAGAGTGCTGGAAGATCCAGTTGAATTTACGACGTGGACCCCAACGTACATAGGCATTGTTTGTCATAAGCATAAGCAAATTCGAAACTTGAAATAAACGGTGAAAAATATAGCTAAAATAATCAAAATATCGTATACAGGGAGGTTCCGTAATATCGGAGCTGTGCGAAGACCTGGAACAGCATAGATAAATTTCTTTCACAAGCTGTAGCATCCATTACGAACTTCAAATACCACATCTCAAATAATTTCGGTGGGTATTGTACCTAAACTCGTCAAAATACCGAATATAGGGAGGTACTGATATATGGGGCCAAAACGGAGACGTGGACCTGCATAGACAATTTTCTGTCACAGACGAGTTCCCTTTTTATACCCTCCACCATACTATGGAGGGTATATTAATTTTGTCATTCCGTTTGTAACTCCTCGAAATACTCACGTCAGACCCAACAAAGTATATATATTCTTGATCAGCGTAAAATTCTAAGACGATTTAGCCATGTCCGTCTGTCTGTCTGTCCGTCTGTCTGTCTGTCTGTCTGTTGTAATCACGATATCTTTCGAACGAATTGAGATAGAAGGCTAAAATTTTGCACACATGTATATTTTTCCAGTAGGCAGGTTAAGTTCGCAAATGGGTCATGTAGGTCCAAGTTTTCATATAGCCCCCATATAACGGTACCTCTCGATATTCGGTATTTTGATGATTTTAGCGACATTATTCACCGGAATTGTTTCAAATTTGGCATTTGAAGTTCGTAATGGATACTACAGCCTAAGACAGAAAATTATCTGTGCAGGTCCACGTCTTCGTATAGCCCCCATATAACGGTACCCCCCGATATTCGGTATTTTGATGATTTTAGCGACATTATTTAACGGAACCGTTCCAAATTTGGTATTTGAAGTTCGTAAAAGATACTGCAGCAGAAAACAGAAAATGGACCATGTAGGTCCACGTCTTCGTATAGCCCCCATATACCGTACCCCCCGATATTCGGTATTTTGATGATTTTAGCGACATTATTTAACGGAACCGTTCCAAATTTGGTATTTGAAGTTCGTAATAGATACTGCAGCAGAAAACAGAAAATGGACCATGTAGGTCCACGTCTTCGTATAGGCCCCATTAACCGTACCCCCCGATATTCGGTATTTTGATGATTTTAGCGACATTATTTACCGGGATTGTTTTAAATTTCGCATTTGAAGTTCGTAATGGATACTTCAGCCCATGCCAGAAAATTTTCTGTGCAGGTCCACGTCTTGGTATAGCCCCCATATAACGGAACCCCCTATATTCGGTATTTTGATGATTTTAGCTACATTATAAACAAATTTTTCTTCATGTTTCGCATTTAAATGTTGTAATAACTTATGACAAAAGTTGCCTATGCATGTATACGTCGTCGTATAGACATTCGGTATTTTTAAGATTTTAACAGAATTTTTAAAGGATTTTTTATTTTATTTTTTTATTTATTTATTTATTTTATTTTTTTTGGAAATTGCCAAATTTGTACCAAATGGTGGAGGGTATTAAAAGTTCGGCCCGGCCGAACTTACAGCTTTTTTACTTGTTTATTAGTGAGTTGTATTCGTCGGCATATACGAATTTGTTTTTGTGTACGAATAATGCAAGATCGTTTTCCATCTTGGATTTCAGCTGCTGTAAGGTCTTGTGATGAGGTGCGAAGATGTTGTCTATTTGCTCCAGTATTTTTCCAGAGTCTTAGAGCATATGTGAATGATCGATAAACTTTAGCTAAAGAGGAGAATTTTTTAACTGGTCATCTCTTTCCACGGAAAGAGTCATTACTTTTGCCGTTTTGGCTTCCAAATTTGTATCACTTAGGGAATCATGTGATGGCCATCGGTCTTTTGGCATTCTGAGCCATTGAGGTCCCTGCCACCAGAGATCACTAATCTTTAGCTCTGCAGGCGAACATCCACGGCTCGCAATATCAGCTGGACTATTTTCTGAATCAACATGTCTCCATTTTTCTTGACCAACAATATCCGCAATTTCCGAGAGTCAATTTCCAACAAATGTGCTCCAATGACAAGGAGGCTTTTTTAACCATGCTAAGACGATGGTAGAATCGGTCCAAAATTGTGTCGAATATTTTGATATTTGTAGGCTAGTTACAATGGATTTTGCTAATTTTGATAGTAATACTGCCCTGCATAACTCGAGTCTGTGTATTGATAGTTTTTTAATAGGAGCGACACGAGTCTTTGCTGCTAATAAGAATGTATGTGTCTTATGGTCAGTATTTTGATCCTAATATATAGAGTGTCTCCATACGCGTTTTCCGACGAGTCACATCCATGACTCTCTACAGAACCATCTAGCGTGTATTGAATCCATCGAGAAACTCTGAGATATTCAATATCTTTGCTATTTCTCACAAAATTGTTCCAGTTCATCTGAGTTATTGGCTTTAATTGATCATCCCAGTCAATTTTGTCTAGCCATATTTGTTGCATTATTAGCTTAGCTACAACAACCACCGGTGGCTCAAACAATTTGGCTATCCTTGATAAAACCTCTCGTTTTGAAGATACAGTTTTATTTTCCATTGCAGGTGGTGTGAAAGAAAAATAATCGCCTGAGATATTCCATCGAATTCCAAGGGTCTTAGTAGAAGCATCTTCGGAAATGTCTAGCCAATTGAGTGGTATGATTACAGTGATTCCGCAAATAAATATCAATAGGTGTTCTTTATATGCTAGTTAAGGTGTGAGTACATAAGCTGCTTGGCATCAGGGCTAGGCATGTCAAATTATAGGGAAAAACGGCTGAAGCAGTCGAGTGATATGTCACACAATATGCTATGCGAAGACTTTAAGCTGCTTTTGTACTCACACCTATACTTAAACAAATAATGCCTGTATTGAAAGTGTTTTTGACTTACATTTGTTCCCTTTTCCCCTCAAAAAGTAGGCAGTTTATTTTGTTAGTTTTTAAATGTTTATTTCAGCTTTATTTATTTATTTTAGCCTAAGTTTAGTTTAATATAGATTTGAGTAGGGAAAATTCAATATTTTAGCTAATTTCACTTCCAATTTTAGTTCACCTATACATTCTTATATCATATTTTAGCTCCGTTAATTCTAGTGAGCGCAGTACAAATTATCAAAATTTTCTGCCCCCTCATAAGGCGTGTAAAATATCTAGTTCCATGACTGATTTTTGATGGGACCAGAAAATAAATAGCCCAGTTCCGAGTTGCAGGTTTTTACGTCTCCTATACAGGCATCAGTGCACCCATCTTTTCGAATTGCTGCATAGGTATCGGCACCCAGTTCTACATCGACAGTTGTGTTACCTCAGGGTCTGCTAAAGCACGGTTGGTAAAGCTGATGGTGGGATTCTCTAGAATTGTGTCTGAATATAGCCATCTTGGAAGGTCGTCAATAATAATGGCGTTGACTTTTAAGGATCAAGTACTATTTGGCCGACGGGGTGAAATCATGAAAGTTTTGAAACGTTCTCCTTTGTAGGTGGGAGACGGCAGACCCATCCGTCGGAAAGCAGCGTAAGAGATTTTGGACATTGTTGCTGATAGGCCGATGATGGCCCGTAACTTCGTAAACCCCTCGAACCCTCCCGCAGTTATTGGCACCATGGCCGTTGGTACGAAAACTAAATCCCATGCAAAGGCTGGAGTGGTAATTGCCTCGACGTTGATTGCTGCCTCCTCCAGTTGAGATGCCCTTTGAATAAAATTATGATTCTGATATTTGTATCGTCGGCAGCCGGTTAGGGAGGAACAGTCTGAAGCCAAATGACCACGCGTGAGACAATTTCGGCAGTAGTCGCTCCGCTCAACCGTTTGGTATTTTTGAAAGGGAGTCTGGTTGCGAAATCTGTTGCAAGAACTTAAGGCATGGTCCTCTTGACATAACCCACACGAGAACATTCAGAAACATGGTCGCTCAAAGCGGGGATTGGTTCGGGTACTTGATCGGCTTCTTTGTCTTATGTCAGTGGAAGTGGGTCTCATTTCGTCTCGGCGGGTTGGTCTGTTTGAGCTGCATACTATTCGGCGAGTGGCAGTGCTAGGGCTGGGGCTGCGTTCGGCTCTTCTCCAGATTTGAGTAGGCAAGTAGGCAGCCATATCTAAAAAACAACGAGATGCGAGTACAAGTTTTTTTTGGAACTGTATACGTCTAGTCAGTCGCAAAACAATTTGACAATTTTTGTTATGGGTCTGCTAATGTTGCCACTTGGTGTCCGTATGTCAACAACCCTGGTATTTTGATCACTACCTGGAAAAGTTTTTTTCAATACGACCTAACATCCATTCATGCGGACCCAACCTATAATCTTTTACGACGACAAAATCTCCTTTTTTGACATTCTCTTTTTCATATTTACACTTAGTTCTTCTGTGAAGTTCGTGAAGATTCTTCCACCTGCTGCAAGAATATTGTGAAATAACTTTGAGCCTTTTCCACCGATTGTCTAAGTTTAAATCTGTATCTGAAATATCTGGTTCAGCTGGTGTAAGAATAGATGTTCCTACTAAAAAATGACCAGGAGTCAAAGGGGAAAGGTCATTTGGGTCGTCGCTAGCAGGACTTAAGGGTCGCGAATAAAATAGTAGTAAATTCTTCAAAAGTCAAATTAATTTTTGGTATACTCGCAAATGAACTTTAAATGAGCACCAAGCGGAATGAATTTCGGAGTAAGATTTTGAGTGAAGTTGTTTTGAATCGTTCTATTTTAAATATTTTTCATGAAAGCTAATCTATTTCGTTTAAGTAGATCAACCGCTCCCACAAAGTTGTCCGTTGTCCGAAAATATACAAGACGGACGATCGCGCCGACTTATAAACCTAGAAAAAGCGGCAAGAAACGCATATGTCGACAAATCGCTTGTGGGTTCTAAGTGTATAGCCTCGGTGGCGAAACAAACAAACAGGCACACATACCCTTTTGTAATAAGGCAGGCTCCTCCTGAATAACTTTTAATCTTAAAGGGTCCTGCAAAATCTACCCCTGTGTTTGTAAAGGGTCGAGAAGGAAAAGTACGTTCAGACCGTAGCGAAGCCATTATTTGAGTTTGGGTTTGTTTTTTTTTTTTTTGTAAATTAAGCAGATTCGACATTTTCATATGGTTTGTTTGAATACCGACTTTAGCCAAAAATCCATAATTCGGAACTTAGTACTTGTGTCATTAATTGATTGCCACAGTGTAAGGTGATCTTATTCGGTTCGCGTTCCTTTATCTCGTTTTTTATTATTATGTGGAATTGTTATAAGCAAGCGATGTGGAATTTTTATAAGCAGCACTGAACTCAAAAAAAACTTTTTTTTGGCAAAAAAACGAGTTAAACAATGGCAGCCGTGCCGGTTTTTTGATGCTGAGCTATTTTGATGTAAAAGCTAATTTCATTTAAGTTTCAGTCGCTCACTGCTGTTTTGTGTTAGCTGATGATTTTAAGTAGCATTAGCTCGAAGTTCTGTTTCAAAGAACTAAGATATTTGGGATACATTGTTGGAGGTAGCAAACTGAAGACTGATCCAGCGAAAGTGGAAACGATAGTAAAGCAGGATAGAAGTTTAATGGGTACCGCAGGGAGGTATCGAAGCTTTATAGTCGACTTTGTCACCATTGCGACTCGAAACCCTCAAAAAAGGAAAACGATTCACAAAGGAAGGAAGCTCTTATAAGTATCCCCGTCCTAACACACCCGGACTTTACCAAACGCTTCAACGTTCAGTGTGATGCCTCAAACTTAGGAATAGGAGCTATATTGTTCCAAAGAGACGATGAGATATTACTATGTGACTAAGAGGGAATGTTTGGCGGTGGTGATGACCATTAAAAAGTCCTGGTCATATATTGAGTTGATGCACTTCACAGTTATAACTGACCACAATAGTTTTTTTCATGTCTCATCGACATCTGAGCGGAAGGTTAGCCGGACGGAGTCTACATTTGCAGGCATGTTCTTTGAGGTAGAGCACCATAAAAGTACCCAGAACATAGTACCTGATACTCTGTAAATGTATGATATGGAGTAGATTTTTCTGTTGAAGTCCTTAATCGACCTCGATTCCTTAGCTTTTAAAACAGATAAATACGTTGCCTTGATAGACAAAATCGAAAATAATTCTTCACAACTTCCTGATATAAATGTGGTTAATGGTTTTGTATATAAACAAACTCAGTTCTACGATGGTATTTCCCTTAACGAAGGTTTGGCCTTGAAGTTATGGGTACCCAGTGAAATGACCCAGCAAATTATTGAAAAAAGCACACTATCCACTACTAGTCTCTCATGGAGATCTCCCCAAGACACCTCGGAGGGTAAAAGAGTACTTTTTTCTGTCCAAGTCTGAATACGCAAGTTAGAAATTTTGTACAGAATCGGAAAATTTTCAAAGAGACGAAACCAACTAATTCGACCCTTCGTCCACCTATGGAAGCGGAAACAATTAAAGAAAAGCCTTTCCAACAATTATTATCATTCTGGTAGTCCACCTTCCAGAATATGTCTTGCTAAGAGCCATGGCCAAAGAAAATTCGAGAAATGTAGTAAAATTTTTAATAAGTGAAGTATCTCATAAATTTGGAACCCTAAAATTAATTGTGTCTGCTAATGGTAAACCATATATTAGCAAAGAGGTAGAATACCTTAAAGGTTTGAAATAAAGCGGAGATCCCAGATAAAATATTAACTCGAAACGTTTACACGAAAATATTTAAAATAAGCTCATAATTCTAACTTAACTTAAAGCTACCTTAATTTTAAATTTTTCCTATACTCATCCAAAAGTCGCAAGAGTGCTGGAAGATCCAGTTGAATTTACGACGTGGACCCCAACGTACATAGGCATTGTTTGTCATAAGCATAAGCAAATTCGAAACTTGAAATAAACGGTGAAAAATATAGCTAAAATAATCAAAATATCGTATACAGGGAGGTTCCGTAATATCGGAGCTGTGCGAAGACCTGGAACAGCATAGATAAATTTCTTTCACAAGCTGTAGCATCCATTACGAACTTCAAATACCACATCTCAAATAATTTCGGTGGGTATTGTACCTAAACTCGTCAAAATACCGAATATAGGGAGGTACTGATATATGGGGCCAAAACGGAGACGTGGACCTGCATAGACAATTTTCTGTCACAGACGAGTTCCCTTTTTATACCCTCCACCATACTATGGAGGGTATATTAATTTTGTCATTCCGTTTGTAACTCCTCGAAATACTCACGTCAGACCCAACAAAGTATATATATTCTTGATCAGCGTAAAATTCTAAGACGATTTAGCCATGTCCGTCTGTCTGTCTGTCTGTTGTAATCACGCTATCTTTCGAACGAATTGAGATAGAAGGCTAAAATTTTGCACACATGTATATTTTTCCAGTAGGCAGGTTAAGTTCGCAAATGGGTCATGTAGGTCCAAGTTTTCATATAGCCCCCATATAACGGTACCTCTCGATATTCGGTATTTTGATGATTTTAGCGACATTATTCACCGGAATTGTTTCAAATTTGGCATTAGAAGTTCGTAATGGATACTACAGCCTAAGACAGAAAATTATCTGTGCAGGTCCACGTCTTCGTATAGCCCCCATATAACGGTACCCCCCGATATTCGGTATTTTGATGATTTTAGCGACATTATTTAACGGAACCGTTCCAAATTTGGTATTTGAAGTTCGTAAAAGATACTGCAGCAGAAAACAGAAAATGGACCATGTAGGTCCACGTCTTCGTATAGCCCCCATATACCGTACCCCCCGATATTCGGTATTTTGATGATTTTAGCGACATTATTTAACGGAACCGTTCCAAATTTGGTATTTGAAGTTCGTAATAGATACTGCAGCAGAAAACAGAAAATGGACCATGTAGGTCCACGTCTTCGTATAGGCCCCATTAACCGTACCCCCCGATATTCGGTATTTTGATGATTTTAGCGACATTATTTACCGGGATTGTTTTAAATTTCGCATTTGAAGTTCGTAATGGATACTTCAGCCCATGCCAGAAAATTGTCTGTGCAGGTCCACGTCTTGGTATAGCCCCCATATAACGGAACCCCCTATATTCGGTATTTTGATGATTTTAGCTACATTATAAACAAATTTTTCTTCATGTTTCGCATTTAAATGTTGTAATAACTTATGACAAAAGTTGCCTATGCATGTATACGTCGTCGTATAGACATTCGGTATTTTTAAGATTTTAACAGAATTTTTAAAGGATTTTTTTATTTTATTTTTTTATTTATTTATTTATTTTATTTTTTTTGGAAATTGCCAAATTTGTACCAAATGGTGGAGGGTATTAAAAGTTCGGCCCGGCCGAACTTACAGCTTTTTTACTTGTTTATTAGTGAGTTGTATTCGTCGGCATATACGAATTTGTTTTTGTGTACGAATAATGCAAGATCGTTTTCCATCTTGGATTTCAGCTGCTGTAAGGTCTTGTGATGAGGTGCGAAGATGTTGTCTATTTGCTCCAGTATTTTTCCAGAGTCTTAGAGCATATGTGAATGATCGATAAACTTTAGCTAAAGAGGAGAATTTTTTAACTGGTCATCTCTTTCCACGGAAAGAGTCATTACTTTTGCCGTTTTGGCTTCCAAATTTGTATCACTTAGGGAATCATGTGATGGCCATTGGTCTTTTGGCATTCTGAGCCATTGAGGTCCCTGCCACCAGAGATCACTAATCTTTAGCTCTGCAGGCGAACATCCACGGCTCGCAATATCAGCTGGACTATTTTCTGAATCAACATGTCTCCATTTTTCTTGACCAACAATATCCGCAATTTCCGAGAGTCAATTTCCAACAAATGTGCTCCAATGACAAGGAGGCTTTTTTAACCATGCTAAGACGATGGTAGAATCGGTCCAAAATTGTGTCGAATATTTTGATATTTGTAGGCTAGTTACAATGGATTTTGCTAATTTTGATAGTAATACTGCCCTGCATAACTCGAGTCTGTGTATTGATAGTTTTTTAATAGGAGCGACACGAGTCTTTGCTGCTAATAAGAATGTATGTGTCTTATGGTCAGTATTTTGATCCTAATATATAGAGTGTCTCCATACGAGTTTTCCGACGAGTCACATCCATGACTCTCTACAGAACCATCTAGCGTGTATTGAATCCATCGAGAAACTCTGAGATATTCAATATCTTTGCTATTTCTCACAAAATTGTTCCAGTTCATCTGAGTTATTGGCTTTAATTGATCATCCCAGTCAATTTTGTCTAGCCAGATTTGTTGCATTATTAGCTTAGCTACAACAACCACCGGTGGCTCAAACAATTTGGCTATCCTTGATAAAACCTCTCGTTTTGAAGATACAGTTTTATTTTCCATTGCAGGTGGTGTGAAAGAAAAATAATCGCCTGAGATATTCCATCGAATTCCAAGGGTCTTAGTAGAAGCATCTTCGGAAATGTCTAGCCAATTGAGTGGTATGATTACAGTGATTCCGCAAATAAATATCAATAGGTGTTCTTTATATGCTAGTTAAGGTGTGAGTACATAAGCTGCTTGGCATCAGGGCTAGGCATGTCAAATTATAGGGAAAAACGGCTGAAGCAGTCGAGTGATATGTCACACAATATGCTATGCGAAGACTTTAAGCTGCTTTTGTACTCACACCTATACTTAAACAAATAATGCCTGTATTGAAAGTGTTTTTGACTTACATTTGTTCCCTTTTTCCCTCAAAAAGTAGGCAGTTTATTTTGTTAGTTTTTAAATGTTTATTTCAGTTTTATTTATTTATTTTAGCCTAAGTTTAGTTTAATATAGATTTGAGTAGGGAAAATTCAATATTTTAGCTAATTTCACTTCCAATTTTAGTTCACCTATACATTCTTATATCATATTTTAGCTCCGTTAATTCTAGTGAGCGCAGTACAAATTATCAACATTTTCTGCCCCCTCATAAGGCGTGTAAAATATCTAGTTCCATGACTGATTTTTGATGGGACCAGAAAATAAATAGCCCAGTTCCGAGTTGCAGGTTTTTACGTCTCCTATACAGGCATCAGTGCACCCATCTTTTCGAATTGCTGCATAGGTATCGGCACCCAGTTCTACATCGACAGTTGTGTTACCTCAGGGTCTGCTAAAGCACGGTTGGTAAAGCTGATGGTGGGATTCTCTAGAATTGAGTCTTAATATAGCCATCTTGGAAGGTCGTCAATAATAATGGCGTTGACTTTTAAGGATCAAGTACTATTTGGTCGACGGGGTGAAATCATGAAAGTTTTGAAACGTTCTCCTTTGTAGGTGGGAGACGGCAGACCCATCCGTCGGAAAGCAGCGTAAGAGATTTTGGACATTGTTGCTGATAGGCCGATGATGGCCCGTAACTTCGTAAACCCCTCGAACCCTCCCGCAGTTATTGGCACCATGGCCGTTGGTACGAAAACTAAATCCCATGCAAAGGCTGGAGTGGTAATTGCCTCGACGTTGATTGCTGCCTCCTCCAGTTGAGATGCCCTTTGAATAAAATTATGATTCTGATTTTTGTATCGTCGGCAGCCGGTTAGGAGGAACAAATGACCACGCGTGAGACAATTTCGGCAGTAGTCGCTCCGCTCAACCGTTTGGTATTTTTGAAAGGGAGTCTGGTTGCGAAATCTGTTGCAAGAACTTAAGGCATGGTCCTCTTGACATAACCCACACGAGAACATTCAGAAACATGGTCGCTCAAAGCGGGGATTGGTTCGGGTACTTGATCGGCTTCTTTGTCTTATGTCAGTGGAAGTGGGTCTCATTTCGTCTCGGCGGGTTGGTCTGTTTGAGCTGCATACTATTCGCGAGTGGCAGTGCTAGGGCTGGGGCTGCGTTCGGCTCTTCTCCAGATTTGAGTAGGCAAGTAGGCAGCCATATCTAAAAAACAACGAGATGCGAGTACAAGTTTTTTTTTGGAACTGTATACGTCTAGTCAGTCGCAAAACAATTTGACAATTTTTGTTATGGGTCTGCTAATGTTGCCACTTGGTGTCCGTATGTCAACAACCCTGGTATTTTGATCACTACCTGGAAAAGTTTTTTTCAATACGACCTAACATCCATTCATGCGGACCCAACCTATAATCTTTTACGACGACAAAATCTCCTTCTTTGACATTCTATTTTTCATATTTACACTTAGTTCTTCTGTGAAGTTCGTGAAGATTCTTCCACCTGCTGCAAGAATATTGTGAAATAACTTTGAGCCTTTTCCACCGATTGTCTAAGTTTAAATCTGTATCTGAAATATCTGGTTCAGCTGGTGTAAGAATAGATGTTCCTACTAAAAAATGACCAGGAGTCAAAGAGGAAAGGTCATTTGGGTCGTCGCTAGTAGTAAATTCTTCAAAAGTCAAATTAATTTTTGGTATACTCGCAAATGAACTTTAAATGAGCACCAGGAGCACCAAGCGGAATGAATTTCGGAGTAAGATTTTGAGTGAAGTTGTTTTGAGTCGTTCTATTTTAAATATTTTTCATGAAAGCTAATCTATTTCGTTTAAGTAGATCAACCGCTCCCACAAAGTTTGTTCCGTTGTCCGAAAATATACAAGACGGGCGATCGCGCCGACTTACAAACCTAGAAAACGTGGCAAGAAACGCATATGTCGACAAATCGCTTGTGGGTTCTAAGTGTATAGCCTTGGGGCGAAACAAACAAACAGGCACACATACCCTTTTGTAATAAAGCAGGCTCCTCCTGAATAACTTTTAATCTTAAAGGGTCCTGCAAAATCTACCCCTGTGTTTGTAAAGGGTCGAGAAGGAAAAGTACGTTCAGACGGTAGCGAAGAAATTATTTGGGTTTGTTTTTTGGGAATTAAGCAGATTCGACATTTTCATATGGTTTGTTTGAATACCGACTTTAGCCAAAAATCTATAATTCGGAACTTAGTACTTGTGTCATTAATTGATTGCCACCGTGTAAGGTGATCTTCTTCGGTTCGCCTTTCTTTATCTTGTTTTTTTTATTATAATGTGGAATTGTTATAAGCAAGCGATGTGGAATTTTTATAAGCCGCACTGAACTCAAAAAATACTTTTTTTTGGCAAAAAAATGAGCGAAGTAATAGCAGCGGTGCTTGTTTTTTGATGCTGAGCTATTTTGATGTAAAATATAATTTCATTTTAGTTTCAGTCGCTCACTGCTATTTTGTGTTAGCTGATGATTTCAAGTAGCATTAGCTCGAAGTTCTGTTTCAAAGAACTAAGATATTTGGGATACATTGTTGGAGGTAGCAAACTGAAGACTGATCCAGCGAAAGTGGAAACGATAGTAAAGCAGGATAGAAGTTTAATGGGTACCGCAGCGAGGTATCGAAGCTTTATAGTCGACTTTGTCACCATTGCGACTCGAAACCCTCAAAAAAGGAAAACGATTCACAAAGGAGGCCAAGGTGGCATTTGAAAAATTGAAGGAAGCTCTTATAAGTATCCCCGTCCTAACACACCCGGACTTTACCAAACGCTTCAACGTTCAGTGTGATGCCTCAAACTTAGGAATAGGAGCTATATTGTTCCAAAGAGACGATGAGATATTACTATGTGACTAAGAGGGAATGTTCGGCGGTGGTGATGACCATTAAAAAGTAATGGCCATATATTGAGTTGATGCACTTCACAGTTATAACTGACCACAGTAGTTTTTTTCATGTCACATCGAGATCTGAGCGGAAGGTTAGCCGGACGGAGTCTACATTTGCAGGCATGTTCTTTGAGGTAGAGCACCATAAAAGTACTCAGAACATAGTACCTGATACTCTGTAAATGTATGATATGGAGTAGATTTTTCTGGTGAAGTCCTTAATCGACCTTGATTCCTTAGCTTTTAAAACAAATGAATACTTAGCCTTGATAGACACAATCGAAAATAATTCTTCACAACTTCCTGATCTAAATGTGGTTGATGGTTTTGTATATAAACAAACTCAGTTCTACGATGGTATTTCCCTTAACGAAGGTTTGGCTTTGAAGTTATGGGTACCCAGCGAAATGACCCAGCAAATTATTGAAAAAGCACACTATCCACTACTAGTCTCTCATGGAGATCTCCCCAAGACACCTCGGAGGGTAAAAGAGTACTTTTTTCTGGCCAAGTCTGAATACGCAAGTTAGAAATTTTGTACAGAATCAGAATTTAAAGAAAAGCCTTTCCAATGAATTTATGTAGACTTTTTAGGTCCTTATCCACAGCCAAAACGGGAAACTGTTTCATTATCATTCTGGTAGTCCACCTTTCAGAATATGTCTTGCTAAGGGCTATGGCCAAATAAAATTCGAAAAATGTAGTAAAGTTTTTAATTTGGAACCCTAAAAGTAATTGTGTCTGATAATGGTAAACCATATATTAGCATAGAGGTAGAATACCTTAAAGGTTTAAATTAAAGCGGAGACCCCGGAATAAAATTTTAACTCACAACGTCTACACGAAAGTATTTAAAATAAACTCTTAATTGTAACTTAACTTAAAGCTACCTTAATTTTAAATTTTTCCTATACTCACCCAAAATTCGCAAGAGTGCCGGAAGAAAGTATTGCCTGAATTGGAGACATTTTTATTAGCATTATTTAAGATATAATATTAAGAGGACTTATCTGAATTTCTACTTATTAAGTGTCTTTTATTTTTCCCAAGTTTATACTAGCTGTATGACAGCTCTTTCTTCATGAGTGTATGGATAAAGGTTGAAACATTTCTCCAGGCAAAGAAGAACTATGAATTAGTGAAATGTTATTATGTTGGATTGTTGACAAAAAATAAACGAAGAAGTTAAAAATGACAAGTTAAAAAGCAGGAAACTCGGCCGGGCCGAAATGTTCAAAAAATAAAATCCTTAAAGAAATTCTGTTAAAAATTTAAAAATACCGAATATTGCCGTTATATTGGGGTCTATACGACGTGGACCCTAACGTACATAGGCATTGTTTGTCATAGGCATATTCAAATTCGAAACTTGAAATAAACGGTGAATAATATAGCTAAAATAATCAAAATATCGTATACAGGGAGGTGCCGTTATATCGGAGCTGTGCGAAGACCTAGATCAGCATACACAATTTGTTTTCACAGGCTGTAGCTTCCATTACGAACTTCAAATACCACATCTCAAACAATTTCGGTGGGTACTGTACCTAAGCTCGTCAAAATACCGAATATAGGGGGTACTGATATATGGGGCCTAAACGAAGACCTGGACCTGCAAAGACAATTTTCTGTCTTAGGCTGTAGTATCCATTACGAACTTCAAATACCAAATTTGAAACAATTCCGGTGAATAATGTCTCTAAAATCATTAAAATACCGAAAATTGAAAGGTACTATTATATGGGGGCTATTTGAAAACGTAGACCTACATGGCCCATTTACGAACTTAACTGCCTACCTGCCTACTGGAAAAATAAACATGTGTGCAAAATTTTAGCCTTCTATCTCAATTCTTTCGAAAGATAGCGTGATTACCACAGACAGACGGACATGACTAAACCGTCTTAGAATTTTACGCTGATCAAGAATATATATACTTTGTTGGGTCTGACATGAGTATTTCAAGGAGTTACAAACGGAATGACAAAATTAATATACCCTCCATAGTATGGTGTAGGGTATAAAAATGGGTATAAAATGTCAGTCTCAAGCCATACTTACAAAGTTGTTTGGCTAAAATTTGTTATAAAATACAATATTTACGTTTATAACAAGTAAAAAAGCTGTAAGTTCGGCCGGGCCGAACTTTTAATACCCTCCACCATTTGGTACAAATTTGGCAATTTCCAAAAAAAATAAAATAAATAAATAAATAAAAAAATAAAATAAAAAAAATCCTTTAAAAATTCTGTTAAAATCTTAAAAATACCGAATGTCTATACGACGACGTATACATGCATAGGCAACTTTTGTCATAAGTTATTACAACATTTAAATGCGAAACATGAAGAAAAATTTGTTTATAATGTAGCTAAAATCATCAAAATACCGAATATAGGGGGTTCCGTTATATGGGGGCTATACCAAGACGTGGACCTGCACAGACAATTTTCTGGCATGGGCTGAAGTATCCATTACGAACTTCAAATGCGAAATTTAAAACAATCCCGGTAAATAATGTCGCTAAAATCATCAAAATACCGAATATCGGGGGGTACGGTATATGGGGCCTATACGAAGACGTGGACCTACATGGTCCATTTTCTGTTTTCTGCTGCAGTATCTATTACGAACTTCAAATACCAAATTTGGAACGGTTCCGTTAAATAATGTCGCTAAAATCATCAAAATACCGAATATCGGGGGGTACGGTATATGGGGCCTATACGAAGACGTGGACCTACATGGTCCATTTTCTGTTTTCTGCTGCAGTATCTATTACGAAGTTCAAATACCAAATTTGGAACGGTTCCGTTAAATAATGTCGCTAAAATCATCAAAATACCGAATATCGGAGGGTACCGTTATATGGGGGCTATACGAAGACGTGGACCTGCACAGATAATTTTCTGTCTTAGGCTGTAGTATCCATTACGAACTTCAAATGCCAAATTTGAAACAATTCCGGTGAATAATGTCGCTAAAATCATCAAAATACCGAATATCGAGAGGTACCGTTATATGGGGGCTATATGAAAACTTGGACCTACATGACCCATTTACGAACTTAACCTGCCTACTGGAAAAATATACATGTGTGCAAAATTTTAGCCTTCTTTCTCAATTCGTTCGAAAGATAGCGTGATTACAACAGACAGACAGACAGACAGACGGACAGACAGACAGACAGACACACAGACAGACAGACGGACATGGCTAAATCGTCTTAGAATTTTACGCTGATCAAGAATATATATACTTCGTTGGGTCTGACGTGAGTATTTCGAGGAGTTACAAACGGAATGACAAAATTAATATACCCTCCATAGTATGGTGGAGGGTATAAAAAGGGAGATGTTTCTCATTTTTCAGAGCAAACTATGAAATGAAATTGAATTAAAACATCTTACGTTTAATCCTGAAGCGCTGACGGTAGTCCCACTATAAGTCTCGGCTAGAATATTTGATAATGGTACAGTTCGGAACCCCGTCTGTTTTTTTATACCCTCCACCATACTATGGAGGGTATATTAATTTTGTCATTCCGTTTGTAACTCCTTGAAATACTCATGTCAGACCCAACAAAGTATATATATTCTTGATCAGCGTAAAATTCTAAGACGATTAACCAAGTCCGTCTGTCTGTCTGTCTGTTGTAATCACGCTATCTTTCGAACGAATTGAGATAGAAGGCTAAAATTTTGCACACATGTATATTTTGCCAGTAGGCAGGCTAAGTTCGTAAATGGGCCATGTAGATCCAAGAAATCATATAGCCCCCATATAACGGTACCTCCCGATATTCGGTATTTTGATGATTTTAGCGACATTGTTTACCGGAATCGTTTAAAAGTTGGCATTTGAAGTTCGTAATTCGTTCGTAACAGCCTAAGACAGAAAATAATCTATGTAGGTCCACGTCTTCGTATAGCCCCAATATAATGGTATCCCCCGATATTTGGTATGTTGATGATTTTAGCGACATTATTTAACGGAATCGTTCCAAATTTGGTATTTGAAGTTCATAATAGATACTGCAGCATAAAACAGAAAATGGGCCATGTAGGTCCACATCTTCGTATAGCCCCCATATACCATACCCCCCGGTATTCGGTACTTTGATGATTTTAGCGACATTATTTACCGGAATCGTTTCAAAGTTGGCATTTGAAGTTCGTAATAGATGCTGCAGCATTAAACAGAAAATGGGCCATGTAGGTGTAAGGTGATCTTCTTCGAATTGAGATAGAAGGCTAAAATTTTGCACACATGTATATTTTGCCAGTAGGCAGGCTAAGTTCGTAAATGGGCCATGTAGATCCAAGAAATCATATAGCCCCCATATAACGGTACCTCCCGATATTCGGTATTTTGATGATTTTAGCGACATTGTTTACCGGAATCGTTTAAAAGTTGGCATTTGAAGTTCGTAATTCGTTCGTAACAGCCTAAGACAGAAAATAATCTATGTAGGTCCACGTCTTCGTATAGCCCCTATATAATGGTATCCCCCGATATTTGGTATTTTGATGATTTTAGCGACATTATTTATCGGAATCGTTCCAAATTTGGTATTTGAAGTTCGTAATAGATACTGCAGCATAAAACAGAAAATGGGCCATGTAGGTCCACATCTTCGTATAGCCCCCATATACCATACCCCCCGGTATTCGGTACTTTGATGATTTTAACGACATTATTTACCGGAATCGTTTCAAAGTTGGCATTTGAAGTTCGTAATAGATGCTGCAGCATTAAACAGAAAATGGGCCATGTAGGTGTAAGGTGATCTTCTTCGGTTCGCGTTATTTAATCTTGTTTTTTTATTATAATGTGGAATTGTTATAAGCAAGCGATGTGGAATTGTTATAAGCAGCACTGAACTCAAAAAATACTTTTTTGGCAAAAAAAAGAGCGAAGTAATAGCAGCGCTGCTTGTTTTTTGATGCTGAGCTATTTTGATGTAAAAGCTAATTTCATTTTAGTTTCAGTCGCTCACTGCTATTTTGTGTTAGCTGATGATTTCAAGTAGCATTAGCTCGAAGTTCTGTTTCAAAGAACTAAGATATTTGGGATACATTGTTGGAGGTAGCAAACTGAAGACTGATCCAGCGAAAGTGGAAACGGTAGTAAAGCAGGATAGAAGTTTAATGGGTACCGCAGCGAGGTAACGAAGCTTTATAGTCGACTTTGTCACCATTGCGACTCGAAACCCTCAAAAAAGGAAAACGATTCACAAAGGAGGCCAAGGTGGCATTTGAAAAATTGAAGGAAGCTCTTATAAGTATCCCCGTCCTAACACACCCGGACTTTACCAAACGCTTCAACGTTCAGTGTGATGCCTCAAACTTAGGAATAGGAGCTATATTGTTCCAAAGAGACGATGAGATATTACTATGTGACTAAGAGGGAATGTTCGGCGGTGGTGATGACCATTAAAAAGTAATGACCATATATTGAGTTGATGCACTTCACAGTTATAACTGACCACAGTAGTGTTTTTCATGTCACATCGAGATCTGAGCGGAAGGTTAGCCGGACGGAGTCTACATTTGCAGGCATGTTCTTTGAGGCAGAGCACCATAAAAATACCCAGAACATAGTACCTGATACTCTGTAAATGTATGATATGGAGTAGATTTTTCTGGTGAAGTCCTTAATCTACCTTGATTCCTTAGCTTTTAAAACAGATGAATACTTAGCCTTGATAGACACAATCGAAAATAATTCTTCACAACTTCCTGATCTAAATGTGGTTGATGGTTTTGTATATAAACAAACTCAGTTCTACGATGGTATTTCCCTTAACGAAGGTTTGGCCTTGAAGTTATGGGTACCCAGCGAAATGACCCAGCAAATTATTGAAAAAGCACACTATCCACTACTAGTCAGTCATGGAGATCTCCCCAAGACACCTCGGAGGGTAAAAGAGTATTTTTTTCTGGCCAAGTCTGAATACGCAAGTTAGAAATTTTGTACAGAATCAGAATTTAAAGAAAAGCCTTTCCAATGAATTTATGTAGACTTTTTAGGTCCTTATCCACAGCCAAAACGGGAAACTGATTCATTATCATTCTGGTAGTCCACCTTTCAGAATATGTCTTGCTAAGGGCTATGGCCAAAGAAAATTCGAAAAATGTAGTAAAGTTTTTAATTTGGAACCCTAAAAGTAATTGTGTCTGATAATGGTAAACCATATATTAGCATAGAGGTAGAATACCTTAAAGGTTTAAATTAAAGCGGAGATCCCAGGATGAAATATAAACTCACAACGTCTACTCGAAAGTATTTAAAATAAACTCTTAATTGTAACTTAACTTAAAGCTACCTTAATTTTAAATTTTTCCTATACTCACCCAAAATTCGCAAGAGTGCCGGAAGAAAGTATTGCCTGAATTGGAGACATTTTTATTAGTATTATTTAAGATATAATATTAAGAGGACTAACCTGAATTTCTACTTACTAAGTGTCTTTTATTATTCCCAAGTTTATACTAGCTGTATGACAGCTCTTTCTTCATGAGTGTATGGGTAAAGGTTGATACATTTCTTCAGGCAAAGAAGAACTATGAATTAGTGAAATGTTATTATGTTGGACTGTTGACAAAAAATAAATGAAGAAGTTAAAAATGACAAGTTAAAAAGCAGGAAACTCGGCCGGGCCGAAATGTTCAAAAAATAAAATCCTTAAAGAAATTCTGTTAAAAATTTAAAAATAACGAATATAGCCGTTATATTGGAGTCTATACGACGTGGACCCCAACGTACATAGGCATTGTTTGTCATAACCATGTTCAAATTCGAAACTTGAAATAAACGGTGAATAATATAGCTAAAATAATCAAAATATCGTATACAGGGAGGTGCCGTTATATCGGAGCTGTGCGAAGACCTAGATCAGCATACACAATTTGTTTTCACAGGCTGTAGCTTCCATTACGAACTTCAAATACCACATCTCAAACAATTTCGGTGGGTACTATACCTAAGCTCGTCAAAATACCGAATATAGGGGGTACTGATATATGGGGCCTAAAAGAAGACCTGGACCTGCATAGACAATTTTCTGTCTTAGGCTGTAGTATCCATTACGAACTTCTAATACCAAATTTGGAACGGTTCCGTTAAATAATGTCGCTAAAATCATCAAAATACCGAATATCGGAGGGTACCGTTATATGGGGGCTATACGAAGACGTGGACCTGCACAGATAATTTTCTGTCTTAGGCTGTAGTATCCATTACGAACTTCAAATGCCAAATTTGAAACAATTCCGGTGAATAATGTCGCTAAAATCATCAAAATACCGAATATCGAGAGGTACCGTTATATGGGGGCTATATGAAAACTTGGACCTACATGACCCATTTACGAACTTAACCTGCCTACTGGAAAAATATACATGTGTGCAAAATTTTAGCCTTCTTTCTCAATTCGTTCGAAAGATAGCGTGATTACAACAGACAGACAGACAGACAGACGGACAGACAGACAGACAGACACACAGACAGACAGACGGACATGGCTAAATCGTCTTAGAATTTTACGCTGATCAAGAATATATATACTTCGTTGGGTCTGACGTGAGTATTTCGAGGAGTTACAAACGGAATGACAAAATTAATATACCCTCCATAGTATGGTGGAGGGTATAAAAAGGGAGATGTTTCTCATTTTTCAGAGCAAACTATGAAATGAAATTGAATTAAAACATCTTACGTTTAATCCTGAAGCGCTGACGGTAGTCCCACTATAAGTCTCGGCTAGAATATTTGATAATGGTACAGTTCGGAACCCCGTCTGTTTTTTTATACCCTCCACCATACTATGGAGGGTATATTAATTTTGTCATTCCGTTTGTAACTCATGTCAGACCCAACAAAGTATATATATTCTTGATCAGCGTAAAATTCTAAGACGATTAACCAAGTCCGTCTGTCTGTCTGTCTGTTGTAATCACGCTATCTTTCGAACGAATTGAGATAGAAGGCTAAAATTTTGCACACATGTATATTTTGCCAGTAGGCAGGCTAAGTTCGTAAATGGGCCATGTAGATCCAAGAAATCATATAGCCCCCATATAACGGTACCTCCCGATATTCGGTATTTTGATGATTTTAGCGACATTGTTTACCGGAATCGTTTAAAAGTTGGCATTTGAAGTTCGTAATTCGTTCGTAACAGCCTAAGACAGAAAATAATCTATGTAGGTCCACGTCTTCGTATAGCCCCAATATAATGGTATCCCCCGATATTTGGTATGTTGATGATTTTAGCGACATTATTTAACGGAATCGTTCCAAATTTGGTATTTGAAGTTCATAATAGATACTGCAGCATAAAACAGAAAATGGGCCATGTAGGTCCACATCTTCGTATAGCCCCCATATACCATACCCCCCGGTATTCGGTACTTTGATGATTTTAGCGACATTATTTACCGGAATCGTTTCAAAGTTGGCATTTGAAGTTCGTAATAGATGCTGCAGCATTAAACAGAAAATGGGCCATGTAGGTGTAAGGTGATCTTCTTCGAATTGAGATAGAAGGCTAAAATTTTGCACACATGTATATTTTGCCAGTAGGCAGGCTAAGTTCGTAAATGGGCCATGTAGATCCAAGAAATCATATAGCCCCCATATAACGGTACCTCCCGATATTCGGTATTTTGATGATTTTAGCGACATTGTTTACCGGAATCGTTTAAAAGTTGGCATTTGAAGTTCGTAATTCGTTCGTAACAGCCTAAGACAGAAAATAATCTATGTAGGTCCACGTCTTCGTATAGCCCCTATATAATGGTATCCCCCGATATTTGGTATTTTGATGATTTTAGCGACATTATTTATCGGAATCGTTCCAAATTTGGTATTTGAAGTTCGTAATAGATACTGCAGCATAAAACAGAAAATGGGCCATGTAGGTCCACATCTTCGTATAGCCCCCATATACCATACCCCCCGGTATTCGGTACTTTGATGATTTTAACGACATTATTTACCGGAATCGTTTCAAAGTTGGCATTTGAAGTTCGTAATAGATGCTGCAGCATTAAACAGAAAATGGGCCATGTAGGTGTAAGGTGATCTTCTTCGGTTCGCGTTATTTAATCTTGTTTTTTTATTATAATGTGGAATTGTTATAAGCAAGCGATGTGGAATTGTTATAAGCAGCACTGAACTCAAAAAATACTTTTTTGGCAAAAAAAAGAGCGAAGTAATAGCAGCGCTGCTTGTTTTTTGATGCTGAGCTATTTTGATGTAAAAGCTAATTTCATTTTAGTTTCAGTCGCTCACTGCTATTTTGTGTTAGCTGATGATTTCAAGTAGCATTAGCTCGAAGTTCTGTTTCAAAGAACTAAGATATTTGGGATACATTGTTGGAGGTAGCAAACTGAAGACTGATCCAGCGAAAGTGGAAACGGTAGTAAAGCAGGATAGAAGTTTAATGGGTACCGCAGCGAGGTAACGAAGCTTTATAGTCGACTTTGTCACCATTGCGACTCGAAACCCTCAAAAAAGGAAAACGATTCACAAAGGAGGCCAAGGTGGCATTTGAAAAATTGAAGGAAGCTCTTATAAGTATCCCCGTCCTAACACACCCGGACTTTACCAAACGCTTCAACGTTCAGTGTGATGCCTCAAACTTAGGAATAGGAGCTATATTGTTCCAAAGAGACGATGAGATATTACTATGTGACTAAGAGGGAATGTTCGGCGGTGGTGATGACCATTAAAAAGTAATGACCATATATTGAGTTGATGCACTTCACAGTTATAACTGACCACAGTAGTGTTTTTCATGTCACATCGAGATCTGAGCGGAAGGTTAGCCGGACGGAGTCTACATTTGCAGGCATGTTCTTTGAGGCAGAGCACCATAAAAGTACCCAGAACATAGTACCTGATACTCTGTAAATGTATGATATGGAGTAGATTTTTCTGGTGAAGTCCTTAATCTACCTTGATTCCTTAGCTTTTAAAACAGATGAATACTTAGCCTTGATAGACACAATCGAAAATAATTCTTCACAACTTCCTGATCTAAATGTGGTTGATGGTTTTGTATATAAACAAACTCAGTTCTACGATGGTATTTCCCTTAACGAAGGTTTGGCCTTGAAGTTATGGGTACCCAGCGAAATGACCCAGCAAATTATTGAAAAAGCACACTATCCACTACTAGTCAGTCATGGAGATCTCCCCAAGACACCTCGGAGGGTAAAAGAGTATTTTTTTCTGGCCAAGTCTGAATACGCAAGTTAGAAATTTTGTACAGAATCAGAATTTAAAGAAAAGCCTTTCCAATGAATTTATGTAGACTTTTTAGGTCCTTATCCACAGCCAAAACGGGAAACTGATTCATTATCATTCTGGTAGTCCACCTTTCAGAATATGTCTTGCTAAGGGCTATGGCCAAAGAAAATTCGAAAAATGTAGTAAAGTTTTTAATTTGGAACCCTAAAAGTAATTGTGTCTGATAATGGTAAACCATATATTAGCATAGAGGTAGAATACCTTAAAGGTTTAAATTAAAGCGGAGATCCCAGGATGAAATATAAACTCACAACGTCTACTCGAAAGTATTTAAAATAAACTCTTAATTGTAACTTAACTTAAAGCTACCTTAATTTTAAATTTTTCCTATACTCACCCAAAATTCGCAAGAGTGCCGGAAGAAAGTATTGCCTGAATTGGAGACATTTTTATTAGTATTATTTAAGATATAATATTAAGAGGACTAACCTGAATTTCTACTTACTAAGTGTCTTTTATTATTCCCAAGTTTATACTAGCTGTATGACAGCTCTTTCTTCATGAGTGTATGGGTAAAGGTTGATACATTTCTTCAGGCAAAGAAGAACTATGAATTAGTGAAATGTTATTATGTTGGACTGTTGACAAAAAATAAATGAAGAAGTTAAAAATGACAAGTTAAAAAGCAGGAAACTCGGCCGGGCCGAAATGTTCAAAAAATAAAATCCTTAAAGAAATTCTGTTAAAAATTTAAAAATAACGAATATAGCCGTTATATTGGAGTCTATACGACGTGGACCCCAACGTACATAGGCATTGTTTGTCATAACCATGTTCAAATTCGAAACTTGAAATAAACGGTGAATAATATAGCTAAAATAATCAAAATATCGTATACAGGGAGGTGCCGTTATATCGGAGCTGTGCGAAGACCTAGATCAGCATACACAATTTGTTTTCACAGGCTGTAGCTTCCATTACGAACTTCAAATACCACATCTCAAACAATTTCGGTGGGTACTATACCTAAGCTCGTCAAAATACCGAATATAGGGGGTACTGATATATGGGGCCTAAAAGAAGACCTGGACCTGCATAGACAATTTTCTGTCTTAGGCTGTAGTATCCATTACGAACTTCTAATACCACATTTGAAACAATTCAGGTGAATAATGTCTCTAAAATCATCAAAATACCGAAAATTGAAAGGTACTATTATATGGGGGCTATTTGAAAACGTAGACCTACATGGCCCATTTACGAACTTAACTGCCTACCTGCCTACTGGAAAAATAAACATGTGTGCAAAATTTTAGCCTTCTATCTCAATTCTTTCGAAAGATAGCGTGATTACCACAGACAGACGGACATGGCTAAATCGACTAAGAATTTTTCGCTGATCAAGAACATATATACTTTGTTGGGTCTGACATGAGTATTTCGAGGAGTTACAAATGGAATGGCAAAGTTAATATACCCTCCATAGTATGGTGTAGGGTATAAAAATGGGTATAAAATGTCAGTCTCAAGCCATACTTACAAAGTTGTTTGGCTAAAATTTGTTATAAAATACAATATTTACGTTTATAAAAAGGGAGATGTTTCTCACTTTTCAGAGCAAACTATGAAATGAAATTGAATTAAAACATCTTACGTTTAATCCTGAAGCGCTGACGGTAGTCCCTCTATAAGTCTCGGCTAGAATATTTGATAATGGTACAGTTCGGAACCCCGTCTGTTTTTTTATACCCTCCACCATACTATGGAGGGTATATTAATTTTGTCATTCCGTTTGTAACTCCTTGAAATACTCATGTCAAACCCAACAAAGTATATATATTCTTGATCAGCGTAAAATTCTAAGACGATTTAGCCAAGTCCGTCTGTCTGTCTGTGTGTCTGTCTGTCTGTCTGTTGTAATCACGCTATCTTTCGAACAAATTGAGATAGAAGGCTAAAATTTTGCACACATGTATATTTTGCCAGTAGGCAGGTTAAGTTCGTAAATGGGCCATGTAGATCCAAGAAATCATATAGCCCTCATATAACGGTACCTCCCCATATTCGGTATTTTGATGATTTTAGCGACATTGTTTACCGGAATCGTTTAAAAGTTGGCATTTGCAGTTCGTAATTCGTTCGTAACAGCCTAAGACAGAAAATAATCTATGTAGGTCCACGTCTTCGTATAGCTCCTATATAATGGTACCCCCCCGATATTCGGTATTTTGATGATTTTAGCGACATTATTTAACGGAATCGTTCCAAATTTGGTATTTGAAGTTCGTAATAGATACTGCAGCATTAAACGGAAAATGGGCCATGTAGGTTCACATCTTCGTATAGCCCCCATATACCGTACCCCCCGGTATTCGGTACTTTGATGATTTTAGCGACATTATTTATCGGAATCGTTTCAAAGTTGGCATTTGAAGTTCGTAATAGATGCTGCAGCATTAAACAGAAAATGGGCCATGTAGGTTCACATCTTCGTATAGCCCCCATATACCGTACCCCCAGATATTCGGTATTTTGATGATTTTAGCGACATTATTTACCGGAATCGTTTCAAATTTGGTATTTGAAGTTCGTAATGGATTCGTAATCCTAAGTCAAAAAATGAGCCATGTAGGTCCACGTCCTCATATAGCCCCCATATAACGGTAGCCCACGATATTCGGTATTTTGATGATTTTAGCGACATTATTTAGCGAAATCGTTCCAAATTTGGTATTTGAAGTTCGTAATAGATACTGCAGCATAAAACAGAAAATGGGCCATATAGGTCCAAGTCTTCATATAACCCCCATATACCATACCCCACGATATTTGGTACGTTGATGATTTTAGCGACATTATTGACCGGGATTGTTTCCAATACGGCATGTGAAGTTCGTAATGGATACTTCAGCCCATGCCAGAAAATTGTCTGTGCAGGTCCACGTCTTCGTATAACCCCCATATAACGGTACCCCCACATACGGTATTTTAATGATTTTAGCTACATTATAAACAGATTTTTCTTCAAGTTTCGCATTTAAATACTGTAACAACTTATGACAAAAGTTGCCTATGCAGGCCCACGTCGTCGTATAAGCATTCGGAATTCTTAAGATATTAACAGAATTTTTAACGGATTTTATTTTCTGGAAATTGCCAAATTTGTACCAAATGTTGGAGGGTATTAAAAGTTCGGCCCGGCCGAACTTACAGCTTTTTTACTTGTTTTTTTTTTTTCTTTCGAACAGGTGTCCAACCTCGAAATAAGATTACAAATTGAAGCACTCCGGTTTTACCGCTCTAGTTAATGTCTGCGCATCCGTAGCAGTCACCTGTCTTTGGCCATATCAGTCCTTCACCCGCCTTACGACACTTGGGTCTGGAAGCCAGAAGACAAAAGAACAAATACACCTCAGTGTATTTGCACACTATCGTATCCGACATTCCGTACAAAGCTGAAGGTATAGTCAATGGTACACCTGTTGAAAAAAGGAGAACAGGATTACTCGAACTTACCATCAAGTAATGCCAATAATGTCGTGCTAAGATCGTTTAGTAATGTCTGGGAAGATAAAAAAGGACTTATTAGTATTAGTATTTTTTTTTGTATTGTTCACTGGATACGTACAAATTATATCAAATTTCGCAATACGGATATATTTTTATTTTAAGTTGTGTAGTGAAGTAAAAGTGATAGTGATTCCTACAGCTCAGGTAAGCTTCTATTAAATAAATAAAAGTTTTATCTTTTATTTGTAATTTTCGTCTTATTTTCCGCTAATTAAACATACCCCCTTTTTTCTAGAAAAAATCCTTTTTTTTAATTACAAAAGCAATTCTCTTATGTTTCCGGGTTCATTCAGATAATATTTTTTTGTTTATTGCATACGTTACACATTTAGCATTTCTATCAAAAAACAGTAGCCACAGAATCCCGCAGATCCATTAAATAGAGCACCTCAAATTATTTTCGTAAAAAAATTAAGAAAAATCCATTAAAAAAATGAAAATAGTAACCCGTAAATGTCTATTTGAGCAAATGCGATGTGGAATTGTTATAAGCAGCACTGAAATCAAAAAATACTTTTTTTTGGCAAGTATTGATCCGGCGAAAGTGGAAACGATAGATATATTGAGTTGTTGCACTTCACAGTTATAACTGACCACAGTAGATTTTTTTCATGTCACATCGAGATCTGAGCGGAAGGTTAGCCTGACGGAGTCAACATTTGCAGGCATGTTCCTTTGAGGCAGAGCACCATAAAAGTACCCAGAACATAGTACCTGACACTCTGTAAATGTATGATATGGAGTAGATTTTTCTGGTGAAGTCCTTAATCGACCTTGATTCCTTAGCTTTTAACACAGATGAATACTTAGCCTTGATAGACACAGTCGTAAATAATTCATCACAACTTCCTGATCTAAATGGTTTCGCCTTGAAGTTATGGGTACCCAGCGAAATGACCCAGCAAATTATTGAAAAAGCACAATATCCACTACTAGTCTCTCATGGAGATCTCCACAAGACACCTCGGAGGGTAAAAGAGTACTTTTTTCTGGCCAAGTCTGAATACGCAAGTTAGAAATTTTGTACAGAATCGGGAAATTTGCAAAGAGACGAAACCATTAAAGAAAAGCCTTTCCAATGAATTTATGTAGACTTTTTAGGTCCTTATCCTAGAACCAAAACGGGAAACTGTTTCATTATCATTCTGGTAGTCCACCTTTCAGAATATGTCTTGTTAAGGGCCATGGCCAAAGAAAATTACAGAAATGTAGAAAAGTTTTTAATTAGTGAAGCACTTCATAAATTTGGAACCCTAAAAGTAATTGTGTCTGATAATGGTAAACCATATATTAGTAAAGAGGTAGAATACCATAAAGGTTTAAATTAAAGCGGAGATCCCAGGATGAAATATTAACTCACAACGTCTACACGAAAATATTTAAAATAAACTCTTAATCCTAACTTAACTTAAAGCTACCTTAATTTTAAATTTGTCCTATACTCACTCAAAATTCGCAAGAGTGCCGGAAGATCCAGTTGAATTAAGTTGAAAGTATTGCCTGAATTGGAGACATTTTTATTAGTATTATTTAAGATATAATATTAAGAGCACTAACCTGAATATCTACTTACTAAGTGTTTTTATACCCTCCACCATACTATGGAGGGTATATTAATTTTGTCATTCCGTTTGTAACTCCTCGAAATACTCACGTCAGACCCAACAAAGTATATATATTCTTGATCAGCGTAAAATTCTAAGACGATTTAGCCATATCCGTCTGTCTGTCTGTGTGTCTGTCTGTCTGTCTGTCCGTCTGTCTGTCTGTCTGTCTGTCTGTTGTAATCACGCTATCTTTTGAACGAATTGAGATAGAAGGCTAAAATTTTGCACACATGTATATTTTTCCAGTAGGCAGGTTAAGTTCGTAAATGGGTCATGTAGGTCCAAGTTTTCATATAGCCCCCATATAACGGTACCTCTCGATATTCGGTATTTTGATGATTTTAGCGACATTATTCACCGGAATTGTTTCAAATTTGGCATTTGAAGTTCGTAATGGATACTACAGCCTAAGACAGAAAATTATCTGTGCAGGTCCACGTCTTCGTATAGCACCCATATAACGGTACCCCCCGATATTCGGTATTTTGATGATTTTAGCGACATTATTTAACGGAACCGTTCCAAATTTGGTATTTGAAGTTCGTAAAAGATACTGCAGCAGAAAACAGAAAATGGACCATGTAGGTCCACGTCTTCGTATAGCCCCCATATACCGTACCCCCCGATATTCGGTATTTTGATGATTTTAGCGACATTATTTAACGGAACCGTTCCAAATTTGGTATTTGAAGTTCGTAATAGATACTGCAGCAGAAAACAGAAAATGGACCATGTAGGTCCACGTCTTCGTATAGGCCCCATATACCGTACCCCCCGATATTCGGTATTTTGATGATTTTAGCGACATTATTTACCGGGATTGTTTTAAATTTCGCATTTGAAGTTCGTAATGGATACTTCAGCCCATGCCAGAAAATTGTCTGTGCAGGTCCACGTCTTGGTATAGCCCCCATATAACGGAACCCCCTATATTCGGTATTTTGATGATTTTAGCTACATTATAAACAAATTTTTCTTCATGTTTCGCATTTAAATGTTGTAATAACTTATGACAAAAGTTGCCTATGCATGTATACGTCGTCGTATAGACATTCGGTATTTTTAAGATTTTAACAGAATTTTTAAAGGATTTTTTTTATTTTATTTTTTTATTTATTTATTTATTTTATTTTTTTGGAAATTGCCAAATTTGTACCAAATGGTGGAGGGTATTAAAAGACCCGGCCGAACTTACAGCTTTTTTACTTGTTTATTATTCCCTAGCTGTAGGATAGTTCTTTTTTATGAGTGTATGGGTAAAGGTTGATACATTTCTCCAGTCAAAGAAGAAATAATCCTAATCGAAGTCTTGGACCTGCATAGACAATTTTCTGTCACAGACTGTACTTCCCATTACGAACTCTAAATACGTAATTTGAAACAATTTCTGTAATAATGTCCCTAAAATCGTCAAAATACTGAATATTGGGAGGTACCATTATACGGGGGCTATACGAAAACGTGGACCTGCATAGACAATTTTCTGTCTTAGGCTGTAGTATCCATTACGAACTTCAAATACCAAATTTGAAACAATTCCGGTGAATAATGTATCTAAAATCATCAAAATACCGAAAATTGAAAGGTTCTGTTATATGGGGCTATTTGAAAACGTAGACCAACATGGCCCGAAATTAACTGCTTACCTGCCTACTGGAAAAATAAACAGGTGTGCAAAATTTTAGCCTTCTATCTCAATTCTTTCGAAAGATAGCGTGATTACCACAGACAGACAGACATCGCTAAATCGACTAAGAAATTTTCGCTGATCAAGAATATATATACTTTGTTGGGTCTGACATGAGTATTTACAAACGGAATGGCAAAGTTAATATACCCTCCATAGTATGGTGGAGTGTTTAAAAATGGGTATAAAATGTCCGTCTCAAGCCATACTTACAAAGTTGTTTGGTTAAAATTTGTAATAAAATACAATATTTACGTTTATAAAAAAGGGAGCTGTTTCTATGAAATTGAATTAAAACATCTTACGTTTAATCCTGAAGCGCTGACGGTAGTCCCTCTATAAGTCTCGGCTAGAATATTTGATAATGGTACAGTTCGGAACCCCGTCTGTTTTTTTTTTTTTTCATCCGAACAGGCGTCCAATCTTCTAGACTCTAAAATCAGACATCAGAATTTCGAAATAAGATTACAAATTGAAGCACTCCGGTTTTACCGCTCTAGTGATTGTCTGAGCATCCGTAGCTGTCACCTGTCTTTGGCCATTAGTGCAATTCTTCTTTCGCCGTGAAGCAGTAACCGTTCGCACTTTGGCTCGGGCCAAGAAACTATTGTACACTAGGTCGCAGATCAGTCCTTCACCCGCCTTACGACACTTGGGTCTGGAAGCCAGAAGACAAAAGAACAAATACACCTCAGTGTATTTGCACACTATCGTATCCGACATTCCGTACAAAGCTGAAGGTATAGTCAATGGTACACCTGTTGAAAAAAGGAGAACAGGATTACTCGAACTTACCGTCAAGTAAGGTAAATAATGTCGTGCTAAGATCGTTTAGTAATGTCTGGGAAGATAAGAAAGGACTTATTAGTATTTTTTTTTTGTATCGTTGATTTGATACGTACAAATTATATCAAATTACGCAATACGCATATATTTTTTTTAAGTTGTGTAGTGAAGTAAAAGTGATAGTGATTCCTACTGCTCAGGTAAGCTTCTATTAAATAAATAAAAGTTTTATCTTTCATTTGTAACTTTCCTTTTATTTTCCGCTAGTTAAACATACCGCTTTTTTTCTAGAAAAAATCCTTTTTTATTACAAAAGCAATTCTGTTATGTTTCCGGTTTCATCCAGATAATATTTTTTTGTTTATTGAATACGTTACACATTTAGCATTTCTATCAAAAAACAGTAGCCACAGAATCCCGCAGATCCATTAAATAGAGCACCTCAAATTATTTTGGTAAAAAAAATTAAGAAAAATCCATTTTTTAATATGAAAAATAGTGAAAATAGTGACCCGTAAATGTCTATTTGAGCAAATGCAACATCAAAATTTTCCAAGTTTGGATGAGAAATTGGAGTCTTTGGAAAATTAGTTGGTATTGTCTTGCGAAGACACTGTGGAGAGAAAGAAGAGTCTCAAGCATAAATTTTTGCACATCATACATGAATTTAAACTGAGATGGCTAAAAGCGCATTAAGTTGAAGAAGTTTTTATGAAAACCAACCAGAAGTGGCTGGAAAGCACTTTTGAAATACCAGTGCATTCGCTTAATCAACCAGGTCGTCCGAGCTCTAAGTTTTGAGGAAATTCGAACGGATGTTGATGGTGACATAATTTTACATGCTGCACAAGTGGTATTGCAAACGAGTGGACAACGAAATGTCCCAAAATTGCTCAAAGAAATTGGAAGTTCAACAACAAAGGCTAGTAAATATAGAAAAGCTTTTTCCAAGACCAATGAAACAATTGCTCCTTTGATCCCGCTCCAAGCACTCATGAGAGGACATAACACTCATTAACCAGGAATTAATACATAGATTTAAAATCTTATTCGAGGCGATTTCAAGTGCACACAAAATAAATACAAAAAAATCAAAGAACATGCCCTCAACACCGCGCAACTGTATGTGGAATTATACGACTGGCATCATATGACTCCATCTATGCATAAATTACTATTACATGGGGCCACCATCATAGATAATACACTGCTTTCAATCGGGTAATTGTCGGAGGAGAAAATTATTTTTAAGCCATTAATGTCCAAAAAATATATCGACCACTGTGCAGCGTGGCTTGGTACCTTCCCAATTGGCTACGGTCAATTTAAATCAACTTTAAATATAAGCTGCTTTTATTATTCTCTAATTTTTGGCGTACCCCATCGCAACCAAAAAAGAAGAAAATGACACAGGATTACATTTTAAATTAATTTGTTTTTGCAATTTATTCTAAGATTTGAATTCGAATAATAAACATAACATGTAAAATTATTCAGGAATTGCTTCCGTCATTGGATATTTAACATAGTATAATTTTTGTACATATTTTTATTAAAAAAGATAACTACCTCTTCGGTTTCGGTAAAGACAAGTTTGGGATTCGATTGTAGTTTATGTCAACGTTTTCTATCATTCTTTTCTTGACATGTTTCAGATTTTCTTTTAAGATTCTGAGTAAAGTCCGGTATGATTTTGGTTTTGTTTGTTCAACCGAAAAGGTCTGCAAGTAGCAAGAATCAACCACTAATCCGACGAGCCATAGCCGCGCTAAACACCAACATGTCGGCAACGCCACTCAATGATCGAGTTTTCGTTATTTTTCTTAGAACACGGTTGTTACATCCTTTACAAAATATATCGGTGTCACACGGCGTCAGTCTGGAAAACGGTGTAAATTCTGATTGCTTATTCCCTTTTTGAGCCATATGAGATTCTAGTTTCACTTTATTTTTATGTGCCCATTAATTTCTATAAGAATCAATGACCTCTAAATAATGTGTTCTGTCTAATCTATGGATGTAATCTTCTATGCTTGCTAGACTTAGGATCGATGTATATTGAATATCTCAAGCAGATTTTTACGATTTTGTTTGTCCATCCTTTAAGTGAATTTGTTCCTACTTTAGAGAACATTTTTAATTCAACAGAACTTACAAAGTAATCCAATCAAAGAGTCAAATTATTTTCTTTTTGGGTTAAATAACAAAACCAACAAATTTTGTTTTAGCTAAACTTAGATGTTAATTCCCCAGTGATTTTTTATGACAAGAAGCAGGGTTGTCAGATATGACGATCTCGATTTTTTGGCGGTTTATAGACAGGTTGGCGATTTTATAGGCGAATTGTAAGAAATTAGGATTTTTTTTTATTACCGAAAATATGAATACTTTTAAGGTCTTGCACAATTCTCAATATCAGAATGTGACAGTCATTTATTGCAAACATAATTTATGTTGTCGAGAATTCATTATAAACTAATGAGCTCTATTAGATGTGCTAGAAACCTATGGACAAAATTACATTTGGTCTGTAACAGAATTGCAAGAATGTAAAATTTGTAAATGAAATAAAAATGTACTTGATTTTTGGAGGACAGTTAATTATTACAGTGATTCCGCAAATTAATACCAACAGATGTTCTTTATATGTTAGTTAAGGTGTGAGTATATAAGCAGCTTGGTATCAAGGCTAGACATGTCGAATTATAGGGAAAAACGGCTGAAGGAGTCGAGTGATATGTCACACAATATGCTATGCGAAGACTTTAAGATGCTTTTGTACTCACACCTATACTTAAACAAATAATGCCTGTATTGAAAGTGTTTTTGACTTACATTTGTTCCCCTTATTTTCCTCAAAAATTAAACAGTTTATTTTGTTAATTTTTAAATTTTTATTTCAGCTTTATTTGTTTATTTATTTTAGCCTAAGTTTAGCATAATATAGATTTAAATAGGGAAAATTCAATATTCTAGCTAATTCCACTTTCAATCTTCGTTCACTTAATTTTATTTATTTATGTAACATTAAATCTAGTTTAGTTTAACTTAGGTTTAGATAGGAAAAATTCACATTTAATTTCACATTCAATTTTAGTTCAATTAATTTTGTATATTCTTAGTTGTAAATATTTCACTTATTTATTTAATTAGTTTGTAATTTTTTTTTTAAGGTAGAGATGTAAGTTTCACTAAATAACCACTTCACTGGGCTTAAATTCCTTACACTAAACTTTAAATATACGGAGTGGAGAAAAAATGTACCGGCGCGGCGATTGGCTTTGAAAAGACTAACTCAAGTCAGAGCAAAGAATCCATGAGACACCCAATTTACCGCTTGTTCTGTTGGAATGTCGGGAATTGTTTGGAAGTTTACAGTTGGTTATTGGGTGTGTGTGTGAAAAAACCGTTAATTCCAGTGAGCTCCGTACAAATTATCAACATTTTCTCCCCCCTCATAAGGCTGTAAAGTATCTAGTTCCATGACTGATTTTTGATGGGACCAGAAAATAAATAGCCCAGTTCCGAGTTGTAGGCTTTTACATCTCCTATACAGGCATCAGTGCACCCATCTTTTCGAATTGCTGCATAGGTATCGGCACCCAGTTCTACATCGACAGTTGTGTTACCTCAGGGTCTGCTAAAGCACGGTTGGTAAAGCTGATGGTGGGATTCTCTAGAATTGTGTCTGAATATAGCCATCTTGGAAGGTCGTCAATAATAATGGCGTTGACTTTTAAGGATCAAGTACTATTTGGCCGACGGGGTGAAATCATGAAAGTTTTGAAACGTTCTCCTTTGTAGGTGGGAGACGGCAGACCCATCCGTCGGAAAGCAGCGTAAGAGATTTTGGACATTGTTGCTGATAGGCCGATGATGGCCCGTAACTTCGTAAACCCCTCGAACCCTCCCGCAGTTATTGGCACCATGGCCGTTGGTACGAAAACTGCATCCCATGCAAAGACTGGAGTGATAATTGCCTCGACGTTGAGGGCTGCCTCCTCCAGTTGGGGTGCCCCATGAAGCAAAGTATGATGCCGAATGTTGCATCGTCGGCAGCCGGTTAGGGAGGAACAGTCGGGAGCCAAATGACGACGCGCGAGACAATTTCGGCAGTAGCCCCTCCTCTCAACCGTTTTGTATTTTTGAAAGGGAGTCTGGTTGCGAAATCTGTTGCAAGAACTTAAGGCATGGTCCTCTTGACATAACCCACACGAGAACTGCCAGAAACTTGGTGGTTCGAAGCGGGGATTGGTTCGGGGACTGGATCGGCTTCTTTGTCGGTGGAAGTGGGTCTCATTTCGTCTCGGCGGATTGGTCTGTTTAAGCTGCATTCTATTCGGAGACTGGCAGTGCTAGGGCAGGTTCTGCGTTCGGCTCTTCTCCAGTTTTGAGTAGGCAAGTAGGCGGCCATATCTAAAAAACAACGAGATGCGAGTACAAGTTTTTTTTTGGAACTGTATACATCTAGTCAGTCGCAAAACAATTTGAAAATTTTTTATGGGTCTGCTAATGTTGCCACTTGCTGTCCGTATGTCAACAACCCTGGTATTTGGATCACTACCTGGATAAGCTTTTCAAAACGACCATAACATTCCTGCGGAGCCAACCTATCATCTTTTACGACAACTAAATCTCCTTCTTTGACATTCTCTTTTTCATATTTCCACTTAGTTCTTCTGTGAAGTTCGTGAAGATTCTTCCACCTGTTGCAAAAATATTGTGAAATAACTTTGAGTCTTTTCCAACGATTGACTAAGATTAAATCTGTATCTGAAATGTCTGGTTCAGCTTGGGTAATAATAGATGTTACTACTAGGAAATGACCAGGAGTCAAAGGGGAAAGGTCATTTGGGTCGTCGCTAGCAGGACTTAAGACATCCTTCAATTCGTGCTAAAATAGATGTAAACTTTTCTAAAGCGAAATTTATTTTTGGAATACTTTTTCGCAGATGAACTTTAAATGATTTAA